GAATCTTTGAATTGATTGAGAAATTCTTCTTCAGAACAAAACCACTGATGCTTTATGTTTGACGGATACTTCGGGGTGGACGGATAAAATCCATTTGTTAATCATCCGTCTATCGTTCCTGTAAGATTGAGTTTCGGAAATATGAACCTCTTTGAACTGGATGCAAAGTGTTATCGATGTAATTTCACAGATGAACAGAAACGAATGAAGGCACACGGAAATGAAAGTGAACGCACTTCTTAGTGGATTTTTCCTTTTTTGGTTTTTGTTCTTGTGATTGCGATTGCTCGTTTTCATCAGCTACATCGCTACCGTTCATCGCACTCTGAACGGCATTCATCGAAATTGTTCGTTGACTCACTTTTTGCGTCTCATTAAGAAGTCTCTCAACACGTTGCTGAATTAAATTCTGATTAGTTGCATTCTGCTTAGCGCATATTTGATTTCTTAATATGCTCAACTTTAATATTTGATTAATATTTTTTAATATGCTCAACTACATTAATCAAACTAAAATTCCCATGACATTCATCTAATTTATTGGAATAAAAAGGAGTGATGTAGTCATATTTCATTTGGAATGCGACAAAAATCAATTTTTCAACTTAAGTCATTTCTATACTGGTCACTGCAAGTCCCTAGTTGATAGGCTGCTCATTACAATCTTAAACCCGAAAGCTACACGAACTGCAGATGCAAGCCTATCTAGTAACNNNAGATCATTTGTGAACAATTCAGTAATCATTCGCAGAATTCAAACATCTCCAAACCGAGAACAGAATCAAGAGAAAAATTAAGAGGAAACGAACGTAGTAATCATCCAAATCAACGTTCGAGGTTTGGAGCATTACGAAACGATGCTGTTTGTGTGAGCAATGAAAAAGGCTGCAGTAACAAGTTAACGGCGACCATTAAATGCCTCACTCAGTTATCATAAGTAAATGCGCACACTTTGATTTTCTACGTATGGCTCATTAGGTTCCATTTTATACAATTGACTGCACTCATGCGGCGTTTCTGGATTGAAATTGATTTTTGACTATCCAATTCGACGAATTAAAAATTATTTGAGGTGAGTTATTGATGAAAGAATTTTACCGTCTAAGTATGTGCGGGAAACAAGCAAATTTGCGTNAAGTAAATGCGCACACTTTGATTTTCTACGTATGGCTCATTAGATTCCATTTTATACAATTGACTGCACTCATGCGGCGTTTCTGGATTGCAATTGATTTTTGGCTATCCAATTCGACGAATTAAAAATTATTTGAGGTGAGTTATTGATGAAAGAATTTTACCGTCTAAGTATGTGCGGGAAACAAGCAAATTTGCGTAATCGAGTTATTTTCACGTTTTGACTCTGATAATATGGCAGTCAGTTTTGAGCCAACGCTCTTGATTTCATTGAGCAAAATTGGCAGCCTCAAAAATACCTCGAAACTGCTCCGTAAGTGTGGTTCGCATGCGATGAATATTACTGACATGGGCATTTCAAGTACGCGCTTGTTTCGGAAATTTAAAAATCAGAATTAAATGTTTGTTGAATTACTACTGATTTAAAAATCGGTGATAAACCAACAAACATTTAATCATTGTTGATCAGATATAATTCGGAGACTTATGAGTGCAAGTGAACGAAACGAACCAACTTATCGTTAGCAGTATCACTGCTAACGATCGTTCGCTTCGGTGGCGAGGATGCGGAAGAGCGCTGTGACATTTTCCGACTTTTTTGAGTGCCCCAAATTGTGATATTCAATGAGCCTTCCTTTAGGTAGTTGACCAACTGCAACGATAAATCCTTTTCGAGTATTTCTTCATACGTATTTCACATGAATTCTCATCGAACATCATTGCATCGCTAATGAGCTCAACGGAGCTGTTTTAAGAACTCACTACATAATGAGGTAGCAATATTTACCATACGAGAGTTCCCTTGAAATAATTGGCTTATGCTAGGAAAATTATGCGTTCGTCTTGCTTTTTCAGAAGTGAATGAAAGCATAATGTTAAAGGAGCGGAATGTTCCTCTTAAGTAGATAGAGTTTGATGATAGTGTTTTTCCAAGTTTTTGACATTAATCATAATGAGTGAATCAACTGAGTGTGTTTAAAATGACATTTTCTCAAGTTTATTGACAAATGAAATTCTTCGACTCCGATTCGGACCTCTTTGGTGACTGGTCGATAAGTGAATGCGGTTTCATGTGCGTATGCTGCGTTCACTTCTCTTACTGAATTCGTTACTGTTTCGGGGCGATCGAAAAATCGATACTTACAAAATGACTGCAAACATTTCAAATGAATTGAGTAACTGTCAGGAAATGTTAATGCATGAGTTTGAGACATCGTTATTATGTTG